CTTGGGATTCTCTCTCTCCCTCTCTCTGCCCCTCCCCACTTGTGCTGTCTCCGTCTCTCTCAAAATAAACAAACTTCAAAAAAAAAAAGGACGTCATTATAAGTATTTACGTTACATTCTAACATGATCGAGCAGCTGATAATTATAGGCAGAAACACATTTTTTGAAAATTCTGTCAACTGAACTTTTCTATGGTTAGCACATCTGGGCACGTGGTGCTCAAACAGAGAAGTCAGGGCAAGCCGCAATTCCAGCTACTTTAGGAAGTGTTCCCATCCGGACGTTCCCTAACCTACTGACCCCGCCGGGCCTCCTCCCTTTCCCCTCCCAGCCCTGCACCTTCTAAATATGGGTAATGAATTCTAAGCTCATCATTCAATTTCTCTTCTTCCAGGATGTCAAAATAAGAGTGGAGAAGGCAGTATCATCATTCACATTACTTGGATAATTGTTTTTCACACCATGCTCCCCAGCAACACGACAAGCATCTGCCCCGGGCTGGTGATTAGGATCCCAGACCAAGTGCCCAAGTGTTGTCCATGCCTTTAAAAGACTAACGACAATATATGTTATAAACAAAACTCACCCGTACATGAGAAATTTCTTAACAATGTTTCTGGAATACTTAGCTTTACTCAATTGGACAAAATCATCTGAAAAACAAAATACATTATCATGAGCTGACAAGTTCACGTCGGCCCTCCAGTATCAGAGAACTGTGTAAACACACAATCCTGGGAACAAACAACTGTCTTGCTCGCCCCATGCAAAGAACCCATAGAAACAAAAAGAGGTCCTGCAGAGAACACATTGCTTTCCCTCAACAAGGATCATTTTCCAGGGCAGTCCCAGGTATCTCAAGAGAAAAAGTGACTTATTGTAAAGCATCACGATTAATCTCCAACAGAAGAGACCTACCTCGCAGCTCCTCAAAAGCCTGTTTTCGCTGTTCTTCGTTACCATACTGAATGTAACACTGGATCACACGAGTGGAGTCATGAGCAAATGCCATCTGCAGGGAAGACAGTTCGGGCTGTTAGACGGATCTCTCTGAAGAGTTCTATCACAGCACTTCTGTTTTGCTGCTACTTTCCTTCCCAGGAACAAGGGAGGGTCTTCATGGACAAAATCAAACCTAGGTTACTCGCGAGTAGAAATGCTCGTTTTAATTGTACAAAATGACATTCCTGGTTCTGCCGCTTACCGTCCAACACTGGGACAGATTTAACCATCTTGCAAGATTCCTATCGTTATAATTAAAAACAAAGCAAATCAAACCAAACCTCTTTAATGGTTATACATACTATTATTTCTCATGGCTCTGAAAGTTACTTTGCCTAAAGGAAATTTTCCAATTCAAAAATTTTATTATTCTCTTATTTTTTTTGTTTACATAAGTGATCTAAGAATGTCTGGCCTTGGCAACATAAGGTATACATAGAAGACTGATCTAAAAGCCTTGCAACACGAGTAGCAAGTCATTTTTTGACTTGTTGGAACTAAAAAATTTTAAAGCCAGAATGAGCAACAAATAAAAAGCACTATTAAAGTAGACTGGTGGGGCGCCCAGGTGGCTCAGGTGGTTAAGCATCTGACTTCAGCTCAGATCATGATCTTGCGATTCCTGGGTTCGAGCCCCGCATGGGGCTCTGTGCTGATAGCTCAGAGCCTAGAGCCTGCTTCAGATTCAGTGTCTCCCTCTCTCTCTGCCCCTCCCCTGCTCACACTCTTTCTCTCTCTCTCTCTCTCTCTCTCTCTCTCAAGTAAACATTAAAATAAGCAAATAACATGGCACAGTAAAGAATCATTTTGCATAACTGATTATTTATGGTTACTGATCCACGAGTCCTGCAGTGAGGATCTGATTTATCCAGTAGTTGTGAGGGGGGTGGAGGTGGTATATGAAATACAACAACTTTTCAGGGTGCCTGAGGCTCAGTTAAGTGTCTGACTCTTGGTTTCGGCTCAGGTCATGAACTCATGGTTTGTGAGTTCGAGACCCATGCCAGGCTCGTTGATTTACTTTAAGTAAAATTTCTGAAAATGAATTTTTAAAAGATCACTGATATTTTACTAACTCCCCAGGAGTAAGGTCCCTCACTACGAAAGGTTTTATTTACTCAGTATCATAAAAGGTATTTGAAATTTGGGGCCAAATACATTTAAAACTGTATCGCGCCTATTGGGAACAGTCACCCAGCCTTTACTGAGAGCGGGCTGGTTTCAGTTGTTACAAATGCCATTACCAGCCTGCCCTACTTACTGTTTTAATCTTCCCTTGAATCAGCTTCTGCAAATCACCCATCAACTTGACTCTCTTTTCTTTGTCACAGTCTTTTCTACAAACGAGAATAAAGGAGGAGGAATCACAGCTGAAGTAAAGATGTTATTTCCAACACAAGAAACTAAAAACCACACCAGGGTACGTCCGCCCAGTTAGAGGGATTTTTCTCTCTGGAGGCAGTGGACCTCCGAGGTGAAAATTACTATTCCAGAGCAACCGGAGAAAAATGATTTTCTCAAAGACAAGAACTCATGTCACAAGGTATAATTTTATGCATCAGCTTACATCTTCATGGCCCAAACCTCAAATGTCAAGAAAACAATAAAACAAGTCCAAGAGACCAAAGGCTTAAGTATCTCAAAACCTAGCTGGTAGGAAATTGTCCTTCATTTTCTCAGAACTCTCCCAGGAAGAAATTTCCAACCCATTCTAATTCTCATACGTTTTCATAAACATATGTGACATCATCCTATGGATCCCACACGCGTGTGCCTTGGGCAGACATCTGATACCGAGGTCTCTCCTGGAGCGCTGGGTTCTCCGTGAATATCCCAAGCGCCGCGCAGTTTACCTTAGGACATCTCGCTATGAACGAGGGGTGCCCACAACCCTCCACCCTCTCAGAGGGACTAACGAAGAGGCCGTCAGGTGGCACTACCGTCGTAAGGTCTCCCAAATGTGCTTCGCACGAACAACGATGTCATAGTTGGTTTTATCACTGAGCTGTCTGCTCTGTTTCAGTTCCTTCTTCTTCTTTTTGAAGTCATCCCACTTCGGTTTCTTGGCCGCTGATTCTGGTCAGTAAAGAAATTATTTTCAATTACATTAGTTCCAAGTGCCACAGACCACTATCAGTCAGGTACACGGGGCAATCACTTATCGGGATCAACACTCCTTGTAAAAACTAAAAGGGGAAAAACGTCATTCCCCGTAAACTTATACTTTCCTTCACTTTCTGAGCAGTTTATACATTGTAAATTTAGTTGAAACCAATCAACCATTCAGTCACCAGCTTTGTACCGATTCTTAACAAGACACCTATCAAGAAAAAAACAAAACCAAAAGGACTATAAAAGGAACTGAAAAGGGTTAAGCTTCTTTTTCAATTATAAAATAAAAATTCTACTTTAAAACACCACAATCATTGGACTTCAGGTATAATCAATTCTTAATGTAAACAAAATTCAGTCCAAACTAAAACAGGGGGGAAAAATTATTAACATTCTCAGTACTCTGAGGGTTGTTATGTACCTTTGAACTTTTACAACAATGCTGTGAGGAGAACACTATTAATATACCCTTTTTCCCATCAGAGGAACAAAGGCACTAAATAGTTCCGTTCCTTGTCCAAGGTCAGGCGCATCCTAAGTGGTAGAACCAGTGGGAACCCGAGAGACCGCTCTCAAACTTCCTGCCCTGCTCCTTCTTACTCAGACCTATGCATAATCAAAATTTCTAAGTCTTCTCCAGAGTAATGCTCTGTAAATCTTGTATCTTCCAATGAGTATTTTGTTTCCTTCAAAATCTAAGGAACTTATCAACTGAATCAAAAAACCCCATAAGGCCTAACAAAGAACAATTTAATGAAACGGCTATTATTTACGCGAGTGTCCCGCAAAGAACCCTTTGGAGAATTACTGACTTCTAAACCTCTCCCCTTCTCGGATTGGAAAATGCACTCATTATAAAACACCTAGAAAATGCAACAACATCCTATCACCTCAAAACCTACACATTGACCGGCAACTTCTATTTTCTTCTTGCCATTTCCCTATGCCTGTTTTATATTCATCTCTAAAAATTCCGGATCTTACTGCTTCATTTCAACATTATTATACTGTAAGCATTCTTCCATGAAACAAAATTATTTCTCAAGAACGTAATCTGTAGTAATTTTTAACGGCCCGTACAATTTACGACAATGTATTTAATTATTTCCTTTACTGTTTACTTCTTTGTTCCCTGCCTGGTAATCAGAGATGACAGGAAAGAGCGGGCGCATTTCCCATTCATACTAGGTGCACTGTTCGTGGCGCACTGTACGGAAGAAGGCAAGGGCTGCTCCGGAGCTCGTGTAATTCCACAAAGCTCTGGGCGCCCTTGACACCTGCCACACTAGGTTGCAACACACGTTCACAACTTCCGGGATCTCTAGTACCCAACCTCCCTCAGTTGCCGATATAAAAACATGAGAAAACCCAATCAGAGTCAGGAGCCGATCTCCCACAGCAGAAGGAACCAGGGCCACAGGTCTTCACGTGAACAGGCACGTGTTCAAAATGCGGTGGCGAGAACTCTAGCAGGGAAACAGACTTAGCACCTGCTAGAGAGGCTACGAGAAACAGCAACTCTGGGGGGGCGGGCAGGGTGGAGAGAAGGATGAAGAGACAGGGATGGAGAGAAAACAGGCGTGCTGGAGCATAAAAGGATCCTGCCAGCCGAATGAGAAACAATGGGATTTCCCTTCCTTCTTCCGTCCCCACCTCCCCGTCCCCCTCGTGGGCGGTCCTCCGCATCTGTCCCCACCTCCCGTCCCCCGGTTAGCAGTGCTCCACAGAGCAGAGCCAGGACCCGGGCTGGGACACCAGACTCAGAAGGCTCCCCGCAGTGGTCTCAGCTGGCAGCAAAGGAGCTGTATTAGGAGTTGCCATGTTGAGGACAATGAGGACACTGGAGAGATCCTCGTGACGCTGCAGAGAAGGGTGCACGTCTGTCAGCACATGACATCCGGGAACGGCTTGTCTGAGGCCAGGACCAAACCACGCACAAGTGGTGGGGGGGGGGGGGGGGGGGGGGGGGGGGATTCGCCAGCAGAGCTCTGGGTGAGGAACCATCCCTCGAACATAACGACGAAGAGAACGATTTGTTTCAAGGGGCACAGGAGCCCAGCCAACGCTTTCATCAGTCAGCAGCTGGTCCTGAGTCTCAACCTGCCATGTGTCCACTACGATGGCCGTGCCCCGTCTCCAGAACCGTGCTCCAGATCCGAGCCACCTGGTGGGCGGACTCTGTTAGACGGGCCCAAGCTCCCAGAGGGCAGGCTCTACACGCCTCCTGTTGACCAAGGCATCCTTAGCCAAGGGAGATACTGAGCTGAAACACACTGGTTCTTTAAGCTTCTATGTCGCTTATTCGCGGCCTATACCCTTACTGGTTGTTACACTTTTTCGTCCCCATCTCCTGGCAAGGTGCGCAGAAAACTCACATGTTTCTTGGTTGAACCATTCAATCAGTCAGTACAATCTGGCCTACAGAAAGGGACGTTTCACTGAGGTTCTACTGCAGAAAGCTGTCACAGCTCAGCTGAACTCCGTGGCCAGGATAACTGAGCAAGAGCCTAGGAGATTAGGCACCCCAAGCACCGGAAGACAACTGTGCCCAGGGAAGGTGCTTTCTGGTGTTTATCTAACCCCATCTACTCCCCACCCCAAATGCTGCCTGTCAAGGAACAAGAATGGAAGGTCTCTACCAATGGCACAATGGTGTCCACACTGTCCACAAAGACGATGCTCAAGGAACCAGTGCTTACCATCACTTTTACCATCCGCCTGGAATTTTCTCTTCCTGTTGAATTTATTTGCCTGCTGGAATTTGTTCTTTGGTATTTTATCCCCTTGCTGCTTATTTTTGAACTGCTTTACACCTTTTTTCCCGGGTTTTGTGGCACATTTCTCGAAGTTCTTAGGTGTGATTTTAGGTCCACCTTCCTTGACAACTTTTCTTGGAAAGGTCTTTGACGAACCAGAATCTAGGGACAATAATAATTATGAGAGTTCAGTGATCTGGAGCCTAGATCTCTTTTATCCACTGGGCTGTGTTTGTTACACAAAAGAACACGCTCTTTAGAGAAACACACTTTGTCTTACTCTTAAATATGGAGAATAGAATTTTTAAAAAAATCAAAACACAATTTTAAAGCTTTTTCTGATTTCTAAAATTAGAATACATGTTCACTAAAGAAAATCGACAAAGTAGGGAAATGCATAATAAAAATCATCCACAAATTCTACAGATAAACCACTGTTGTAAATCACGCGTATTTCTGCTTTAAGCACATAATTTGATAATATGACATTTTATTTCTATCTCCTGTATTCTACTTTAATGACACCTTGTCATTCAAGTCTTCATACGTTATTTTCAGAGATTCAATAACATAATAGGGGGTCTAATAAAATGAACACTTAAAATTTAGAAAGTATATATGTTACGGGTGCCCGGGTGGATCAGTCCTCAGTTGGTAAAGGGTCCGACTCTTGATTTTGGCTCAGATCATGATTTCACAGTGGTGAGATAGAGCCCTATGTTGGGCTCTGCACTGGGCATAGAGCCTGCTTGGGATTCTCTCTCTTCCCACCCCCCCCACCCCTCTCTCTCTGCCTCTCCCCAAAGAAATAAATAAACGTCAAAAAAAGGAGAAAGTGTGTATTAAATGATGTATCAAATTTAAAGGTTATTTTTTTTACTTAAGGACATTATTATTTTATTAAATATCACATTGAATTAAAAGACATTAATTTTTCCAAATTTCTAACTTTGAAAAAAGTTTTTCAAAGCCCATGATACAGGTATTTGATAAAAATCTTTGGCTAACTAAGCTGCAAACTAAGTGCCTCGCAAACAAGATGAATCAGTTAGGCACGGACAGAGTCCCTGACTTTTCCCTTCTGCAACACTGACACCTGATGGCGTAATAGCGACTTCACATCCAGAGATCTGGAAGCCAGAGGTCAGCCGGGTTACCAGTAGCAGGCATTGCTCAGGCACAGTTTCTCAAACACGAACATAACAGGAAAGAGCGGTAAATTAATGACAACAATGAGGCAGCAGCATCCGCAGCTGAGATCAGGGGTCTTCCGTGAAGAGAGCACCCCCAATTTTCCAGGCAATGTCTTAAATGTCTTAGTTTCACGGGGAACTCGCAAACTCGGACACAAGAACTCGTACTTCCCCCAATCCTAACCCGGGAATACAGACCCACATCTGCTCTTGGCCCCCTCATCCCACCACCCCCTCCCTCCGGTTACAACGGACACGGCCACATGGTTTGGGAGGACTATCTTACCACTGTTTTTATGAAATATGTTTTTTTCTTGTGAGGTCTTCACATCTTTTCCTGTGATTTTTTTTTTTCCTTTAACTTCCATTGTAGCAGTTCTGGAAGACAAAACAAAACCCAAAAGGGATCACTGGATTGCTCTCACCCAGTAAGGGTCATCAATCAAGCCACGTTTAGTCCTTGGATTTCATGGATGCAGGACAAATCACCTGGACAGACCATGGGTCAACAAGTCCAGGGACTACGCAGTCACGGTTTCTAAGATTTTAAAAGTGGAAGTGACAAGGTACCAACACAAAAATTAAGAACATGTACACCTAGCGTGTGATGTACGTGGAGGCAACACTTTAGCAATAATTCTGGGTAAAAACAGACCATGACATTTAATATGACACAAGTGTCAGTGTTTGTGTTTCTTATAACTTAGGAAGACTGTGTGATGAGAAACTGACAGGGATGCCTAGGTGGCTCAGTCAGTCAAGCGTCTGACTTCGGCTCAGGTCATGATCTCACGTTCATGAGTTCGAGCCCTGCGTCAGGCTCTGTGCTGACAGCTCGGAGCCTGGAGCCTGCTTCGGATTCTGTGTCTCCCTCTCTCTCTGCCCCTCTAAGCTCATGCACTCTCTAACATTAAAAAGATTTTAAATAAATAAGCATTAAAAAAAAATAAACTGACAATATCGTCATGTGGATTTCTTGGTTTCCATCCTAAAAAGTCCAGAACAAAAAATAGGTTGCACTCAACCATATATTCAAATTTAACAAAAGAAAATCAGTTACCTACAAGTTCCCTATGTATACCACTGTAGCTAAAACAAAGACTAACTTCAAATGCTTAATTTGCTATTCTTTTAGAAGCAACCAGTAATTTTCAGTGATCTCCAAAGTAAGGTTATGTTGGGATATTCAATATTTCATTTGGAAGAAATCTAACAGGTCGCTTCTGGGTCCAGAGAGCTCACTATACACAGGGCATGCAACAGATAACCCCTTGATTACCCGAGGCTCCTGAAAGCTCAGAGAATACGTCAAGGGCAAATGTCACTTGCCTATTTCTCTATCTTCCAAAGTTGTACATTTATTTCTAAAGTTCTGACGTTGACGCTCTAGAGTAGATGTTAGAAATTCCTAGACAATACCAGATATTCCTAAAACAAGAATTTTCTACTCAAGAACAACTAATTTTGCAAGATTATTAATGGGTATAAGAAAAAAGAAGCGTTCAGGGGCGCTTGGGTGGCTCATTTGGCTAAGCGTCCGACTTCAGTTCAGGTCACGATCTCACTGTGGGTTTGAGCCCCATGTTGGGCTCTGTGCTGACAGCTCGGAGACCGGAGCCTGCTTCAGATTCTGTGTCTCCCTCTCACTCTCTGCCCCTCCCTTGCTCATTTTCCCATTTTCCCTGTCCCTGAAAAATAAATAAACGTTAAAAAAAAATTAAAAAAAAAAAAAAGGGTTCAAAGATGGCATGTATTTGAGAAATAGTGAATTAAATGAAAATAATTAAGGCTTTTTAAAGAAAGGCTTTTCAGATTCTTTTCATTTGCTAATTTAAGCCATCAATCACCAAACACAGGCTAAAGTAGGAAAGATTTTCCCAACCCTAATTGAGTCCCTTTTTCTTGAAACATCTCAAGGGACCAGTAAGGTTGCAAAGAACTCTCTGGAAAGTGCAGCTGACTTCAGTCTTTCCTATTATAATTCCGAAAAATGGAGGGCCCCTGAATTACTCCGCTTCCTTAGGTCATTCATTGGTTAACTGTGGGCTCATTTCAGCACTTGGCTGCTTTATCACAACGACGCTTGTATCCCTTAGTTATTCTGTGCTGCTGTTGGTCTAAAAATGCAGACATTTATATATTTTCTCTGTACATTTGTTTTCACCATTCATTTTGAAATAGTTTTCGTTTTACACAAGAGTTTGGAAAGAGAAACCGAATGTTCTAGTCCATTCCTCTGACATTAGCATCTTACCACAGTACTTTGTCAAAACTGAGAGAGGATTAGCACAATACTATTAACTTCGGATTCTGCCTGTCCTTCTGGACCAGGATCCACGGTAGTTAGTCATCAGGTCTCCTTAGTTTCCACCAACCTGTGACCGTGTCTCGCTCTTCTTTCTCATGACCGAGATGCTACTGAAGAGTACTGGTCACTGTGCACAATATTCTCCTTTGGGGTTTGCCTGAGATTTGCTGGTGATCGGACTGGTGTGGATCTTTCTGAAGAGTATCACAGAGCTAAGTGCCCTTCTCATCAGGTCACAGTGGTACTGACTGGCATTACGTCTACCAATGATATTTTTAATTCTTCTGCAGGGAGAAGTGTGTCCCTTCTTCATTTACTTATTTAATCACGTATTTACATCAAGATGGCCTCGCACGCATTTTACTCCTTGGGTTCGAACCCAATCCTATAGTTGCTTCGTTGCTCAAACTGCGCCAGCTGTGGCCAGCGGGAAATCTCAGAGGCTGCTTCGGTCTTTGCGACGTGACCCGTCCGGTTGGTTTCCCACGCCCTTACCTCCTGGCACTTGTGCCAAGTTCATCCTGCAACTTCCCTGCACTGGCCCTGAAACCAGCCACTTCTCCGAGGAACCCTGGTTCCTTTTATTGAGAAGGGCAGGATCTGAGCGCGAGGCGCACTTGACGTCACTGCTTCTAGGGCTTTGCACCAGATGGGGCTGGTGATACCCAGGTCTGTATACCAGCGTCTGTGGACCCGGGAGCCCGCATTTCTTTGTCTATCTGGTAAGTAAGTTCACACTAACGTCTCCAACTCTAATCAAGCGCCACAAGGTTCATTCTGGTCTTCCCCTCTTGCCTTGTCACTTTTTTCTCTTGACAGGGAGAAACTTGCCACCAGTGATCTGCGTAGCACATGTAGTTTCAGAATGCCACACTGTATGCCCATGGGAAACGAACTTCCCAACTCTACCACAGTTTATTTACAACTTTCTTCCCCCCCCCAACAGTATCCATTTACAATACTGTTTTTCAAAATTACTTAGGTCAACTTCCCCCACCACTCCCTTCAGTGAGGTCATTTTATAGGTTTGTACAAGTTAGATTTAGTTTTCGCGGTCTGCATTCCATTTCCAGACACGACGGCTGACTTTTTTGCACCCGCAGTCAAGCTCACTCTTTTGGTGGAGCGCGCTGATTCTGACAAATGCAGAGTCCTGTCTCCTCCACCAAAGTGCATTAGGGTACTGTTTTAACTCCAAAAAGTCCCCAGGGGAGCCCCTCTGCCATCATTCCCTCCTGGCAATCACTGATCTGTTTTCCGTCCCTCTGGTTGCGCCTCTTTTCAAACAGGTGGTATAAACAAAGTCAAGCTGCATGTAGATAGCCTTTTGGGTCTTACTTCTTTCACTTGGCAAGACGCATTTGCTTGGGGAGCCTGTACCATCACATCTAATCGGCACCTTTCTTTGGCTTTCGGAACTGTCTCCTCTTTTTCCCCTTCCGCTATTCCCCATTCAGGCTCTGTATCTCTTGCTCAGCTTGGTTTTTGCTGTTGGATCCCAGCTGCTGTGATCCACTCTCCGCTGCCTGATCAATCTACAAAGTCACCAATTTCGTACCATCTCGCTGCTCCAACAGCTTCAAAAGTTTCCTGACAACACGAAATACTTCAAACCAAACCGCCATCCAAAATTTAGTCCTAACATACCCTCATCACAAACAACACACCCAAGCCAAACGTCTTCACTGTTCTTTTTCAGGATCCAAACTTTAAAGCCATTCTATCAAATATTAACCCCACCCACCCTTCAAATCCAGCTTAAATGACAGCTTTTTTTTTTTTTTTTGGTTTATTCATTTTTGAGAGAGAGGGAGAGCAAGAGAGAGAGAGCACGCACTCGCACAAGAGAAAGAGCAAGCAGGGGAGGGATAGAGAAAGGGGGAAGAAAATCCCAAGCACGCTCAGGGCAGTCAGCGCAGAGCCCAACACAGGTCTCAAACTCACGAACACGGGGGTTACGACCTGAGCCAAAACTCAAGAGTTGGACACTTAACTGAATGAGCCACCCATATGTCCTTAAATGAATTTATTATTTCTTCTCCACACGCCTACCTTCTTTCCCAAATGATTCTCATTCTTAATCCTTTCTGGCACATTTTGATGGCCTTCTTACAATTTCACACCTTGGACTTGAAACATACTGCATACCTATACACTCTGCTAGAAAGCTACTGTGTTGAATAAAATATATGAAAAAGAAATTCAAAGTGGTGGAGTAGAAGCAAACAAAATTAAAACACAACATAATCGGGGCGCCTGGGTGGCTCAGTTGGTTAAGCATCCGACTTCAGCTCAGGTCATGATCTTGTGGGTTCGTGGGTTCGAGCCCCATGTTGTGCTCTGTGCTGGCAGCCCGGAGCCTGGAGCTTGCTTCGGATTCTGTGTCTCCCTCTCTCTCTGCCCCTCCCCTGCTCACACACTCTCTCTCTCAAAAATAAATAAAACGTTAAAAGGTTTTTTAAAAATAAATAAATAAAACACAACATAACTGTTACAACTGAATCACATACAAAGCGTTCAAAAAGCCACAGAGCTAAGAGGCCAATTTTGCCTTGTGGAATGAAATAGCAAAGATTTTCCAGGCACAGAAGGGCAGGTGACTGATCCCACCCTCTCAACAAGCTTAGCACTGAACTATGAAAGAGGTAAACCTTCAATATGCAACCTCCAAATAGTGGTATTTCTCAAGTGTCCCCCTGTCTCTCCACATTCCTCCCTCAGTGATCTCATCCAATCCCATGGCTTTCTATGCTGAGAACTCCCAAATTACTTCCCACTTAGAACTGCTCCTTGGGTTCCAGACTTGTGTATCTAACTGCCTCCCTGACACCTTGGTTTACGTGTCTTACAGGCACTTCAGCCTTATAAGTCCAAAATAAATTCTTCAACTATAACTCCACTGCAAAACACCCCCAAAGAAAAACATCCTCATCTAATCCACGCCACCCTATTTTTGCCATCTCAGCCAGCCACACATCATCTCAGGAGAACCTAAGAGTTACCCTTGACATTTTGCTCTCCCTGGTTTGCTATGTTCAATCCTTCCATAAATTCTTTTGA